GGCAGAGATCTAATCTAGAGAGGAACAGACTTTAAACACTTCCCCTGGGCCACCCCAGCCCCCGCCGCCTGGCACCTTAGAGTTCAGTCTGTGCCCCTGAGCAGAAGTGAGACTGGCATGGAGCCGCAGCTTGCACAAGCCTTGGGTGCCGGCTTCCGCTTCCCGGGGCCCGCCTCCCGGTCCACAGGGAGGACAACAGAGGAAATGGGTGGCCTCACCACAGGTGGAGTCCAGAGCCCAGAACTCCCACTCCCCTCCTTGGGGCAAAGGGCAGAGCGCAGATGGAGATGGGCAGGCCTGAGTGTCACTCAGGCCCAGCAGGGTCAGGCAGGGTATTGTCTCTTGCCTCCCCAAGATCCTGTCAGGTCCACTCCAGGAGGGCAGGAGTTTTCTTGGCTACCATGATCTACACTGCTTGGTACCTTGGTACTTGTGTTAAATCAGTGGCTCAGTGGCAGGATTAGAGCCTGGTGATTCAAGGCCAGCATCAAGGGACCAAGGGTAGACCTGGAGCTGGGGCTATGCCTGTTATCCAAACACTCAGGGAGGCTGAGGTAGAAGGGTTCCAAATTGAAGCATAACCTGGAGTGCTTAGCAACCTAGCGAGGCCCTGGCTCAAAAAAATAAAACGAGGGTGGGGTATGGTGGCGCATGCATGTTACCCCAGCTTTGGGGAACTGAGGCAAGATGATTGCAAGTTTGAGACCGGCCTAGGCTACAGAGTAAGCTCAAGGCCAGCCTGAACTGTACAGTAAGACCTTGTCTCAAAAAGACAAAATAAATACATAAGTATATAAATAAAATAAAAGAGGGCTGGGTTGTAAGTCAGTAGAAATACCCTGGGTCCAATACCCAACCTATCTTCCCTCACTATACCACCTCTACTGAGTTGCATTAAGGAGCTGGGACCTACCAGGCCTCAGAGCGTGGTTATCAAGCTAAACCAGTCAGTGTCCTGCATCTTCGGCAACTTTTGGACAGTCTCCCTGCTTCTGGGGGTCATCAAAGCATAGCCCAGTGTCTCTAGGTCCTGTTGGTTCAAAATGGCTCTTGTCTTACTGGCCCTAGGCCAGGCCTTAGGGCTTCCAGGCCACAGAGTCCAGGCTTCTTGGGAGAAAGTGGGGAATGAGAGAAGGGACACCACAGGCAGGTAGGTGAGGTAACACATAATCTGTTTCCAGTCAGCCTTGTGTCCATTTTGCACACAAGGACACTGAGGCCTGAGGGGCCAGAGTGCTTGATGGGGGTCACCGAGCTGACATCAGTGATTATGGGAACTGTGGTACAATGAAGAAGGAGAAGCAGTAAGTGAAGTAGAAGAGAGACATAAGGCTGCGTCCGCATCTAGGGTAGGAAGGTCTCCTGGTGGGAACCTCCCCAGGGTGACACTGAGACATGGGAAGTAGGGCAGTCCTGGCTTCTGGTGTCCCCTCCCCCTCCCCTGCCTTTGTTTCTTGCCCTCCACAGCATGTGTCTCTCTCCCCCTCCCCTTTCTTCCTCCCCCAGCTCAGTCCCTGTCCCCACCCCCCCATCTTGCATTCTCCCTCCCTCTGTCTCTCTCCCTGTCTCCCTCCCCCACTCCCTCCATCTCTCCATCTCTAGCTTCCCTTCCCCCAGCTCCACTCCCAGCACATCTACACCAGTCAGCTCCTGTGTCTCGCTCTGCTGCCTGTACTTTCTCCACGTGCTGGGGATGTGAGGGCATTGGTAGGAGTCCTAGCTGTGGCGAGCTGAGAGGCACCTGGTGTCACCAGCCCTGGAGGGCCCAGGGTTCTTTCAGAATCAGCCCACTGGGCATGAAGCAGAATCAGAAGGGCTGCAGCTGTGAAAAGGAGCCATGACATAGGGAGGGGACCTGGGCCCTGGCCCAAGGGGGCGAGGGTGGTTTCTAGCACTGCTACCATGTAGTGCCCAAGGACGGCAACAGGAAGGTGCAGGTCAGAGTCCCTGTCCTCTTCTCCTGACTTGGTGGGCACACGCACACATATGTACATGCCATGTGCACGCATAACCTGCACCTGCCTGGGACAAGATAGCATGGGTGTCCGTTCCCTTGAAAGGAAGCAGCACCTGCTGCCAGGTGGACCCAGAGACCTTTAGGGGTCCCAGTCTCCTCCACCTGGCTTCCCAGGCCAGACCAGGTAGCGGGTGATGGCGCTGTGGCCCAGGTCAGGCGTGGGTGCTCCTGATGGGCCCTAGCCACCAGCCAGTCCATCTGCGCAGGGAGGCCCACATGTGAACCCCATGGACAAGGTGTTCTTGGGCACCCTGTTTCAGGGCTGGGAAGCAGGGTGCACAGTTCCTCACACCATGGTATTGCTTCAGGGTTAAGTGGCTCCTTGGGTCCTGGAGGCAGTGATGAGCTGGAGCCTTCTGCCCATGTTTGTGGTTCACTGTTGTCCCCCCTCCACACCTGCCCATATCCTCACCTTTGTATAAAGCCCTCAAAGGTCAGGTCTCCGGTTCCCTTGGGGAAGGCAGACCTGGCTGTCCGAGACAGGCTTTTATGTATTTGGTGTCCTAGTATAACAGTACGGACTTTGAGGCCGAGGCGTGGGCCCTCCCAGTAGGCACCGCGCCAGACCTGGGTTGCACCTGACCTGAGCTCTGGCTCCCACGTGGCTTGGCCTTCTGTCCTCCAGGGTAATGTTTCCTGGTGTCCTCCCCTGAGGTCACATGGGGGGTTGCTATCGGCCTTCAGAAAAGGAACTAAAGTCTACACCAACACCCTATTCCATCTTTCCTCACTCCCCTAGTCAACAGTCCTCTTCCCTCCAAAGATGAGGAGTAGAGGCTTGGGGTAGGCCTGGACTTGCCAGAGGTCACCCGGCTGCGGGGCACAGTTCCTCTTCTCTTCATAGGTCCTGCCTTTGAGGAAGTCTAGAAAAAGTGCTGAGCGCATTGTTTGCTCAAAGCCACAGCAGACACAGGAGGCTGCTGTGGGCTGCTGTGTCAGAGGTTGCTGTGGTGACAGGAAGAGAGTGGGGGGCACAGCAGATCCCCTCTGGGGCTGGCAGGCAGGACCCTCCTATCTGGGCTTGTCCTCTGCATGCACAGGGCCTGCTCTGCAACCAGGGCTCAGCCCTTAGGGCCCAGCGCTGAGCACAGAGCTCTTGTGCCAGTCATCCCTGGTGTAGCCGAAGCTTTGCTCAGTGGCTGTCTCGGGAATTCTTCACATCAGTCAGGAGTCTGATGAGCTAAGTCTTTCCAGCTCCCATGTGACCTCTGGGGCCTGCCCAACTTTGCGTGGGTTGGTGCCTCATCCCCATTCTTTAGATGGGGAAACTGAGGTACAGAAATGTTGAGGTGACCTTGCTGAGTCCCTTGTGAGTGAGCAAGCTGGGACATAAAGCCAGGCTGACTGTAGGTTCCTCATCTCATATCCTTTTCAGCAGCTGGTATAGGGTCAGGGTCCTGTTCCACTTGGCCTGTGAGCTCAAAAGTCCTTTTTCCTACCCAAGAGCCACACTGGAAGCTTGGTGGTGTAATCATCAGGGCCCTTTCCGAGGAGGCCAAATTCCTGTCTTGCTGTATTGGGTATTTTTAGGCAGCTGCGGGAAGGGGAAGCCGGTGGGGGTGCCCCTGGCCTGAGCTGGTTTCCTCAGGAAGGGATGCCAGCAGCTCCCACAGTCCCACACCTTCCTCCGTGTGAACAAGGCACTGAACCAGGCAGGCCTGGGGACCTGGCGCCCAGAGGAGGCTCTACACATCTACAGACATACGGCTGGGGGGAATATCACGGCCCTGAGGAGCCCAGGGTGGGCTGAGACAGGCAGAGCACTCTGGGACAGCCAGGAGGCAGGGGACCAATGGAACCCAGGGCCTTCACACTGAGGTACACCCTCAGCCCTTTTATTTTTACTGTGACAAGGTCTTAACTGGGCCCAAACTTGAAATCCTCCTGCTGGGGTTGGCACCTGAGCAGGTGGGCACAGCTTATTGGCACCTGTGAGATCAGAGTCCCAAACATGATGGCTGTCAAGGAACCAGATTGTTAAGTCAGATAGAAGCTATATTCTTATCAGTGTAAATTTAGATGTTGTGTGACACTGAGCTAGTCCAAAACAATTATTGCCAGGTGTGGTGACGCAAACCTGTAATCCCAGCACTGGCAGAGGCAGAAGGATCTTTGAGAGTTCAAGACCAGCCTGGGCTACAAAGTGAGCTTAAGCCCAGCCTGAACTGTATGTCTCAAAAAGACAAAAAAGAAAATTACCTGTGTCAGAAAGACAGGTCTGGGGCTGGTGAGATGGCTCAGTGGTCTAAAGCACCTACTTAGAACAAGCTCAGCTAAAGCACAGGGACCACGGTTCAATCCCCCAGCACCACATGCCAGCCAGCCCCGCCCCCTGGTGGGCTGAGCTGGCCACACATACATACACACACACACACACACACACACACACACACAACTAAAAATAAATTTAAAAAAAAAGACAGGTCTGTCCCCCTATTCACACGACCTAGGTGTGTGTGTGTGTGTGTGTGTGTGTGTGTGTGTGTGTGTGTGTGACCAGCTCAGCCCACCAGGGAGTGGGGCTGGCTGGCATGTGGTGCTGGGGGATTGAACCATGGTCCCTGTGCTTTGCTAAGCTTGTTCTAAGTAGGTGCTTTAGATCACTGAGCCATCTCACCAGCCCAGTAGGTGGGTTTTAAAACCAGTTTTTATAGTAATAGAATGATATTTTTTTTTTTTTGCATTTTCAATCCAATTTCTAAGAACTTCAGGAGCCTATTCAAGAGCTACTGAAGGAACCCATCTTCCCTGTTGTACAGTTGGAAAGACTGAGGCAGCAGGGCAGGAGTCACCCAGGCTCCCATAGGGTGACGAAGGAGACAGACACAGACACACAGATGTGTCATTGCTCTATTACAAGTGTGTTCCATTTCCAAGAGCATAGTAGAAAGGCCTGAGCAGACACGGCGTCTGCTAGCCCAGCCCTTGTCCTCCCTCGTATGCAGCCCGCAGCACTAACACTCCTCCTCCTTCTCCTCCACAGCGATGCCCTCCTAGCCAGCCACTGCGGGATGGAGGGCTTCATGGACTCAGGGACACAGACGGACGCCGTGGTGGTGCTGTCCTTGGCCCAGGCCGCAGTGTTGGGCCTGGTCTCAGAAAATGAGCTCTTTGGAGCCACCATAAGCGCTGAAGCCTTCTACCCAGACCTAGGACCTGAGCTGTCTGGGGCAGCCATCGGGGAGCCACGGCCACCTGGCCCCAGTGTCTACCAGCTGGCTTGCAATGGGCAGGCCCTGGAGGAGCCTGTGGAAGAGGAGGTGCTGGAGGTGGAGGCGGCCTTCGAGAAGCACACCCGGCGGAAGACACGGCCACCTGTGCGGCTGGTGCCCAAGGTCAAGTTCGAGAAGGCAGAGGAGGACGAAGAGCAGGAGGTCTATGAGGTCTCCGTGACTGGGGATGGCAAGGATACAGGGCCACCTGAGGCCCCTGCTGAGGTAACTGCAGGGGCCTGCGAGGCCCTGGTGCAGAGCAGTGCTGTCAAAATGATCGACCTCAGCACCTTCAGCCGCAAGCCCCGGACGCTCCGGCACCTGCCTCGAGCTCCAAGGCCAGAGCTGGACGTGGCCCCCTATGACCCTCACTTCCCCGACCCAGCCCAGGATGGCTTCCCTGAGCCCAGTGTGGCACTGCCCGGGCCAGAGGCCTTGCCTGCAGAGTGCAGTTTTGAGCCACCCCACCTGGCCCCCCTGAGTGACCCCAAGGTCCCCACCATGACCTCCCCGGAGCCCGTGAAGCCAGAGCAGGGCTTTGTATGGCAAGAGGCAGGCGAGTTTGAGGTAGACGCCACAGGCTCTACTGTGGAGCGCCACAAGAAGGCCCAGCTGGACCGGCTGGACATCAACGTGCAAATTGATGACTCCTACCTGGTGGAGGCGGGTGACCGACAGAAGCGCTGGCAGTGCCGCATGTGTGAGAAGTCCTACACATCCAAGTACAACCTGGTGACGCACATCCTTGGCCACAATGGCATCAAGCCCCACTCATGCCCGCACTGCAGCAAGCTCTTCAAGCAGCCCAGCCACCTGCAGACACACCTGCTCACGCACCAGGGCACACGGCCCCACAAGTGCCAGGTGTGCCACAAGGCCTTCACGCAGACCAGCCACCTCAAGCGCCACATGCTGCTGCACTCCGAGGTCAAGCCCTACAGCTGCCACTTCTGCGGCCGTGGCTTTGCCTACCCCAGCGAGCTCAAGGCCCATGAGGTGAAACACGAGAGCGGCCGCTGCCACGTCTGCGTCGAGTGCGGCCTGGACTTCTCCACTCTGACTCAGCTCAAGCGCCACCTGGCCTCCCACCAGGGCCCCACCCTCTATCAGTGCCTCGAGTGTGACAAGTCCTTCCACTACCGCAGCCAGCTGCAGAACCACATGCTCAAGCACCAGAATGTGCGGCCCTTCGTGTGCACTGAGTGCGGCATGGAGTTCAGCCAGATCCACCACCTCAAACAGCACTCACTCACCCACAAGGTAGGGGCCCAAAGCACCACCCACCTACCTTCATCTGTGACCCTCAGAGCCCCCATGGGAGTTTCACTGGCACACATGCTAGCGGGTATTATTGGTAAAGTATTAGCATAGCTGTGTGTCGCAGTGCAGGACTGCAATTTAAGCACTCTGGGAGGCTGCAGCAGGCAGATCACAAGTTCAAGCCCACCCTTGGCAACTTAGTGACTTAGCAAGACCCTGTCTCAAAAAGAAAAAAGGGCTGGGAGCTTAGTGTAAAATCCCAGGTTGGATCTTTACTATAAGAAAGAGAAAAGAAGGTCTCCTTATGCAAATTTATCCGAATGAATATTAGAAATGTAACTAGAATTAGATTTTTTTCTTTTTGTATTTTCTTTTTTTTTTCTTTTTTTTTTGACACAGGATCTCACTATGCAGTTCAAACTCATAGTGATTCTCCTGCTCAGCCTCCCCTACTGCTGGGATTATAGGCATACGCCACCATGCCCAGTTCCGTGGCAGGCGCAGCAAGTGGTATTTGGGATTGAACTAGGGACCTTGAGCTTACCAGGTAGGTACTTAGGCTGCTGAACTATCTCCCCAGCCCAAATTATCTTTTTTGAGGTGCCTGAGATCAGACTTGGGCTTCATGCTAAACAGGATGGCTCTGTAGAGTGGCTTAGTGAGGCAGTGAGGTTCGTGCAGGCAGAAGACTGAGTGACCCACTTCATGCCCCAGACCTGTGTTGGACCCATCACCCCCTGAGCCCTCCTCTTGCTCCCTTCTGGCTGCCTGTCCCCTGGCCTGCCCTACCTCACGTCCAGGCAGGTAGAACAGGGCCTCTCAGGGTCCAGAGGCCTCTGGCACATGGCTAACCTTCAGGGCCCAGTGTCTGGGGTACTTCCTTCCTGTGTGTTGCAGCTGTGGTGCTGCCCCAGGTTGGACCTAGGACTTGACTGTCGTTGCAAACATGACAGGAAGTGGGGAAGAAGCAGCCTTGGTGGGGGGGCTCTCTCTGCTGGGAAAGGGGAAATCTTGAAGGTGTCACTGAAGAAAACTAAGCAAAACTCAAAAGCTAATTGAGGGGGCTGGTGAGATGGCTCAGTGGTCTAAAGCACCTACTTAGAACAAGCTTAGCAAAGCACAGGGACGGCGGTTCAATCCCCCAGCACCACATGCCAGCCAGCCCCACCCCCTGATGGGCTGAGCTGGCCACACACACACACACACACACACACACACACAAATAAATAAATATTAAAAAAAAAAGCTAATTGAAGGAAAACATCCCTAGCATCAGGTGAGGTCTACATGACACACTTTGTGTGCCCACAGACTCCTGGATGGCAGGGCCCCCTGGTGGCCAAGCTCACATACACCATCTCTCAAGGTTGCTAACAGAAAGGGACCTGGGTCCATAAAATGTAGAGTACTGACCTGGAGCTCAATCTCCAGCACCAGATTCATGATGAAAAATGTGCAGGACAAACATGTGGGCAGCATCTGTGCCTGGGGACACACGTCTGTCCCATTGGGTTCCTCTTACATTACCTGCTGATCAGAGAGGACAGCTCCCAGCTTGGTCCCAACTCTTCCAAAGACTGCAGGTGGACACAGTGTACACCACCGTTGGAAGCCTGTAGACCCCACACCAGGAGGGTCTCCCAGCGCTGAGGGTCCCAGAGTTGGAGGTGGTAAAAATCATGTTGGGGACACTTGTTCCCAGACCACCCTACAGCATTAGATGCCTGAGAACCTACATGAGGACAAGAACTTCAGGTGGCTTTTGTCACCAGGGAGGATTAGAAGAGCCCCTAGCACAGTATAGATGGACTCTTAGGTGGTGAGAACTCAAGTCCATACAGAGCTGGGTGTGTGTCATCTTTCCAGGGTGAGGGTCAAAGCTTTAATCTCAGGGGGCTGTGGACCAAAAAGGCCACTAGGAGGCAGCGTCGAGGAGGAACAAAAACCCAGCCTCACACATCCATGAATGGAGTAGGCCAGGGCCATCAGGTGAAGGCTGTGTCTCCAAGACAGCAGGCCTCGGGTGCTGGCTTGTAGCAGGTGCAGACCTGCATGCCTCTCCATCAGGGTGGGCAGGCACCACTAGGATGGTGCGCCCTCCACAGCTTTCCCACGCGGCTTCCTGGAGTGAGTGGCCTGCCTGTGGCCTCCTAGTGGTCTCAAGCAAGTGATCTCCACTGGGAATACGCCCAGAGAAGGCTGTCCCCGCTGTGCTGGTGGAGGACCCCACAATTCTAAAGCCTTTCCCCCAGCTAGAGCCCCGCCACCCCCATGGCCCAGGTATGGCCCTGACCTCACCCTTCCCTCTAGGGCGTGAAGGAGTTCAAGTGCGAGGTATGTGGTCGGGAGTTCACGCTGCAGGCCAACATGAAGCGGCACATGCTGATCCACACCAGCGTCCGGCCCTACCAGTGCCACATCTGCTTCAAGACCTTTGTGCAGAAGCAGACCCTCAAGACCCACATGATTGTACACTCGCCCGTGAAGCCATTCAAGTGCAAGGTAGGATGAGCCAATAGGGAAGCCAGGGGTGGCTGGGCTCCTTGCCAGATGCTGCCGCCAGGTAGCTTCTGGAATGTAGCCAGAAAGGGGCCAGGCACAGGACTCCAGTGGTAGAGGTCTGTGGTGTTTCTGGTGCCTGCAGTGCAGAAAAGACAGCCTGTTTCTTGCCTCTCGGGTCTTACGGTCGCATAGGAGAGGACAGCCGAGGCGCGGCTATCTCAGTGGGCAGGTGCCGGCTGGGGTCATGGCTGATGCACCTGGTGTTGCAGGTGTGCGGCAAGTCCTTCAACCGCATGTACAACCTGCTGGGCCACATGCACCTGCACGCGGGCAGCAAGCCCTTCAAGTGCCCGTATTGCTCCAGCAAGTTCAACCTCAAGGGCAACCTGAGCCGGCACATGAAGGTCAAGCACGGCGTCATGGACATCGGCCTGGACAGCCAAGGTGGGTGGGCTGAGCGCTGGGGACCGAGCAGGGGTGACCCGAGTGCCACACCCTCAGAAGCCCCTCTTCTGGGGAGGGCTGTGGGGAGGGTGGCTGAGGCCAAGAGCTCCCCAGAGCGGGCCAACCCCAGAGGGCTGGCCTGGTCGTGATGGTGGGCATCTGTGTCTTCCACCAACAGTTCCCCCAGTCTCACAAAACACTGAGAATAAAAGAAGTAACTTCATCTGTTGAGTGCTGTGTAACTCCTGCGGTCCCCACTGTGAGGCTGGGTCTCAGTCTCGGGCCACCTCAGGTGCATGGGAAGGAGGGAGCCGAGGGCGCCTGGTGCTGGTTCAGCAGCAGCAGCAGCAGTTCAGGGCCAGACCCCAGCCTGGGGGTGGGTAGTCGGCCGGGAATGTCCCGGGGCTCCTGGCAGGAGCAGGTGATTTGTTCGTTTGGGTTTATTTTGTTTTTCAGTAGTTACTCAGAAGGCTTCTGTCTGGTGTGGTGGTGCACACCTGTAATTCTAATGTTCCAGAGGCTGAGGCAGGAGGCCTCAAGTTCAAGGCCACCCTGAACTACACAGCGAGACCCCAAGACCCAGTCTCAACAAAACAAACCAAAACATAGTAATACTTAGAAGACTTCTGCAGGCACGGAGGATCTCTGTCGGCAGCCCTTCACTCACAGAGAGCATCAGCACTGTGCCACTGCTAGAAATGAGGACTGAGGCCTGCCCAGAGCTGCAGGTCCAAAAAAGATCCCTGGATGATTTGATGCACAAAGGTGCTTTGGTTTTGAAGTTTTTTGTTTAGTTTGGGCAGAGGATTTAACCCAGGGCTTTGCCCAGGCTTTTTTTTTTTTTTTTTTTTTTTTTATTTAACATATGGTCTCACATGTCTGTAATCCAAGCATTTATGGGGCTGAGGCAGGAGGATTACTGTGAGTTCTAGGCCAGTCTGGGCTACATACTGAGCTCAAGGCCAGCCTGAGCTACATAAGATCTGATCTCTTAAAACAAAGATAGTGTCTCATCAGATCACCAAGTTGTCCCTGCTAGTCTTGTACCTGTGATTCTCCTGCCTCCACCTCCCACACAGTAAACTCAGAGTGGTTGGAGGGCTTGTGGAAACAGATTGCTTGGCTTGAAGAGGTCTGCAGTTCCCACAATTCCCAGATCTCACGCACGCTGCTGTGAGGTTATCCTTCTGACCTGACCTGGACCCTACTCTGCCCATCGTGATTCACCTGCGGAATTTTGAAATGCGGATGCCAGGGCCCCCTTCCCGAAGGTTGGGAATATGGTAGTCGGGGATGAGCACTTGGGGTTCCATTTAAGGGCTGCTGCTCCAGTGGACCCCCTGAATCACAAACCCTCAGAGGGATGGAGCAGACTGTGCCTTTTCAGGAATAACAAGCCACCTAGACACTGCCTGTTCCCCCATTGCAGGATGGTCATGGAACAGGTCTCCCCAGTAGCCAGTAACTGGGGACATGTGGGACCACAGCCTCCCTGTGGCCACTAGACTGGAATGAAATGGAGTGGAACCCAGGCCAGCAGGGCTGGAAGGCCATGCACACCTTGTGGGGTCCCTCTATCTTGGGGAGGTGTGGGCCAGTGGCCTTCCCTGGAGCCAGCTAGACAGAACCAAAATGTCATAGTGGGCAAAGGGATACCAAGGTGGCAGTTTTCCCACAGTACCTGCTTTAGCTGGTTTTAAAGTCACGGCTGAGGGCTGGGGAGATAACTCAGTCGCATAAGTGCCTGTCTGGCAAGCACAAAGTCCCGAGTTCAATCCCCAGTGCCAAAAATAAATACATAAATAAAGTCACGGCTGCCTGCCTTCTAGGTCCTGTGCCTGCCATCTGGGTCCTGGGCTTCCTGGGTCAAACTCAATGGAAGAAAGACTGCTCTGACGGAACTATCTGAGAGCTCCCAGGAGGCATTTTCTGCTGACCCACTGGCCAGAATCAGGCCGCATATCAATTTCTCATTGAGTGTGGGATAACCCTTAGACTCGTGGCTTCTAGCTGGGGCTGGTGTGCCCACAGGTGACATTTGGTTGTCACAACTTGGGTGACGACTGCCATTTCGTGAATGGTGACTGGGTTGCTGCTAAACATCTTGTAGTCACAGGAAAATCCAACAACAAAGAGCTCTGGCATAATATACTGAGTGTCAAAGTTATAAACCATGCCACGGACTTGTCAGGGCCTCCCTATAGGCTGGTGTTTGCTGCCCCAAAACAGCAGACAAAGCAGAAGACAGGAGCGAGCCACGGCACTTCCAGGTCCTACCCTGGCCACTCTTGGAGTGGTTCTTCCTGGGTTTGTTCCCACCATGAATAGTCAGATTTCAACAAGACAGCATGACCAGAGGCCACCGGAGCTCCTGCCTTGTGTTAAGCTACCTTGGGGGGGCATGTGTGTCCATCTCTGGAGGACCAGGCCCCAGGACACCATGGGACGGGCAGGTCTAAAGCACCTGCAGGTCAGGAGAAACTGCTCCCATGGCCGCTGGAGGATTAAATCCTCTGCCAGCTGAGCCTGTGACCTCTCCTCCAACTCAGCCTTAGATCTCCTGAGGGCACTGGGTGCTGGGAAAGGCCTGACAATGGTGCTCAGTGAGTGGCGTGGGGCTGGGACATGCAGCAGGCTTCACACAGCAGGGGAGCAAGGAGACCTGTATAGGACTGAGGAGGGCAAAGGACTGGCACGATGCAGTGACACCCAGAGCTTTCAAGGCCAGGGCCACAGTCTTCTGGAGGTCCTCCCTGGCAGCACAACCCTTGCACACAGCTTAGGGCCCCCAGAACCCCAGGCTCTGGTCAACCTGAGGGGGCGGGGGACACCCTTAGGGCAGCGTCCAGGCCTCACCTCGCCCTTCTCTTGCAGACCCCATGATGGAGCTGGCAGGCCCTGATCCCTCTGAGCTTGATGGCCAGCAGGAGCTGGAGGACTTCGAGGACAACGCCTACTCCTACGGTGGTGTGGATGGCAGCACTGAGGCAGGCACGCTGGCTGGGCAGGCCATAAAGGAGATGGCCTACTACAACGTGCTATAGTGCGGTGGGCAGCGAGGGGTCAGGCAGCTGGTGCGGGGGTGAGACCTGAACTTTGGGCCACACCTCTGCAGCCCAGACCCACGCCCCCCAGTCCTTTGTACCACTAGGGACTTCAGACCAAATGGAGACTGTACTACTGGCCTTGCTGAAGCTGGGCATGCTGGCAAGGGGAGTGTCACTTGAGAGGCCCAGGCTGGGTCTCCTTGACCTGCTGCTGGGGGAGGGCGTAGGGGGAATACTGGCAGACAGGGCACAGGGCCATCCCAGGTCCTGACACTGCAGGGAGAGGTCCCCAAGCCAGGCCTGTTTCTCTTATGGACCAATCCAGGGATGTCTGAGCTGCCTGCTGGCCGGCACTGCCCACCCCACCCTGGCCAAGTCCCTTTGCCTACCCAGCCACCCCATCCAGTCACCAGACAGCCCGCCAGGGCCCTCTGCCTTCTACCTCGGGGCCTCAAGCGCCAAGCCCTGCTGACTTGCAGGAAAGCCGGACACCGCATCTCCCACGGCCCTCAGCCTGTACTACAGCTCTGTTTGGAATGAGCATCCCTAAAGTAGATTTTGATAAATGTCATTCATTTCTGTCCTGGGCTGGGGTACCACACAAGGTTCCCCACTAAACAATACCAGGAGGCCCTTTGGCACACCTGAACCGAGACAGATGGAGCAGGGCAGGGTGCAGCATCCCTGGGGACAAGAGGGGCCGTGCTCAGGGAAGGCCAAGGCCCACCTGTGGGGAAGAGGGGACCTTAGTCGTTGAAATGGGGTTAGCCACAAGTTAGCGGGCTCCTGGGAAAGAGCAGCATATTTAAAAAAAAAATGAAGACCATAGAGGAGAACAGATTTTTTGAACAAATGGGGGTATTATGAAGGTAATTTATTATTTTTTTCTTTTCTTTGCAACTGTGTCGCCTGTTATCCTTCTGGATAGAGATGCATTTCTTTTTCCACACGTAAGCTTTCTTGTGTGCTGTGCGTGCTTTGTGCCTCCTCAGCCTAGGGCAGTCTGGCCGGCTGTGGGGAGCCAGGTTCACTGGCCTGGAGGTGCGGCTGGGAGCAGGAGCAGGGGCGGAGCGGGGACAGCTAAGGCCTCTGCTGTGAACCACATCTGTGCCTGGCAGCCCAGGCACTCACCCTCCCCCGCCCGCCCACCCACTGCTGTCCCCTCCCCGGTGCAGTGGAGCAGCACATTCAGGAACTGCAGGGTGCCCAGCTCTGCCACTAGCCTCCCAGGCTTCTGGGGAAGGGTAGGCAGGGCTGTCCCCACAAGCATAGGTGACACCTGGAGGAACACAGCTGGGCTATCCCCAAGGCTATATCCCTCAGTGAGGGACCAAGCCAGGCCTCAGGGTGGTAGATGGACAGGGCTGGGGATGGACACTGTCCCCAAGTGTGGCACCCCAGATCCCACCCCCTCCAGCCTCCCAGGTGCCCGCCATGATGACCCTCAGGTGGCAGTGACTCTGGTGTCACTGTACAAGACATTTTCTCCTGCTGAGCAGAAAGCATCACCCCTACAAACTACCTCTTCCCACAATGTCTTTCTCCCCTGGTACCAAAAAGAACCCTGTTCCTCCTTTCCCTGCCAGCGCCTGGGTGTGTCCTGGAAGCCGGGCCCCCCCTCCCCGTGCCCTGGCACTGCCCCCGCAAGGCTCCTACTTGAACGCCCCTGCCCTGTGCCTTGTACCCAGGCACTGCAAAGGGAGCAGACAGCACACTCCAGTCTAGCGGGTCAGCCTTGGCCAGGCTTCAGCCCTCACTCACCCTCCCGGCCTCTTGGGTGGCCTGCAGACTCCTGGACGGATTCCATTCTAACTTATTTTCATGCATATACGAACCGACCATTTAGAGACCCCACTTGTGCAAAGCCCTACTGTGTTTTTATGTTCCTGTTTAAGAGAGAAGTTTACTTAGCAATAATTATAAATAAATGAATATTCTTTAGTGAGGTGACTGCAAGTGCTTCTTTCCACATCTCAGGGACCTGCATTGGGAGGAAGCCCTAGTGAGGCTTCTGGGCCTACACAGAGCAAAGCCCATTGGGCCAGGGGCCAGGGGCCAGCCCCAGCCAAGTACAGGCAAAGGCTGCAGAGTTCCCACCACTTGCCAGCCTAGCCTGCATAGGATATTCTCTAAAAAATGAAATAGAGGCATATAACTCAGAGCCAGGCCATGGGTTCAATCCCCAGAATACCAAAAGAAAAAAAAAAGGTTCCCAACCACAGGGTTTTGGGAGCCATGAGAATTTTTTTCCCCCATGAGAATTTTGCAACCTTCAGGTTCCTAAATATAGTCAGCTCTTGGTGTTCACAGTGAATCAACTCCAGGAGCCCTGACCCGTGGACACTAAACTCCAAAGGTGCTAAAGTCCCTGTAATAATCCTCATATTCACACTGTAGCAGAAGTCTCCCACTAGGTACTTCAGTTGCCCAGCTGATAGTTCTGTGGCAGTTCTGGTTGCTTCTGCCTTGTAGAAATGGCCTATCGCTGCGATGCACAGCTGGCACGAGGACGCCTGGTGTAAGAACCAACCAGAGCCAGCTAAGTGCTCTACATCACTAACCCATCCTCCCTTACCCCCCATAAAAACCTCCCTGAGCCTTCAAGGCCTGATATTTTGGGGGGTGGTGGTTTTTTTTTGGGGGGGGGTTTGTTCTGTTGTTTGTTTTGGCAGAACCAGGGATTGAACTCAGGCCCTTGCACTTGGCCAGGCAAGTGCTTATTCTACTGAGCTAGTTCCCCGGCCCCATGGCCTGATATTTTGAACCACCACTTCCTAGGTGGAAAGTTAAATCTGACTCCAAATCCCGGGTGTCCTTTCAATGGTCCTGTCTGCCATAGTGGTATCTTCCTCTATACACTGTCTCTAGCTGACTTGTAATACCTGCCACCCAGGGAGTTGTTACACTGTATTGTTTAGCGGAATGACAAGGCAGGAAGAGTCTGCATGTTGAGCGCAGATGCAGTCTGAGGCTGGCTGAATACACAGATGTGGGACCTTCGGATACAGAGGCTGACTACCTTTTCAAGTATAGACTATTGAACTCTTCCAGAGACATTTCTCTCTCGAACTTTTCCAGAGATAGAGCAGAAATATAATCTCTACATAGAAAAAAAAAAAAAAAAAAAAAAAAACAAATGTAGCTCTGGGGCAACTTTTTTTTTTTTTCAGACAGGATCTCTCTATGTAGTTCATGCTGTCCTTCCAACTCACTGCGTAGCCCAGGATGGCCTCAAATTTGTGGTGATCATCCCGCTTCAGCCTCTGAGTGAGGGACAACTTTTCATTTGCTTTGCCAAAATGTGAAAATGAACACAAGCCTGAAAGAGAGGGCCCCTGTACCCACACAGGCCCCAGCAGGGCCTATTTCCTTACAGAGAAAAGAGGCCTGGAGACGTTCAGAAGGTTAAAAATCAACAAGGCAGGAAACCCATGAAGACCCATTCTTTGGAAACTGCTAACAATCTCAAAGGAAAAACCCAGGTAGAGCAGATGATTCTAGGAAACCAGGCACCTGCAGGCCTGTGTCCACAGGGTCCCAGAAGCACGGAGGCCCACACATTGCCTGGCCCCGGTACCCACCCTGGAATGGCCCTGACTGGCTTGCTGTGGGTGAGGTAGCCTCGCCTGTCCCTAGTGAATCTATAGACTTCTAGGGCAGCTGCCACTGGAAGTGGCATCCACCTCATTCCCCACAGGGACAAACACAGCAGATAGTTTTGTGAAGAGCTTTTTAGTAGCTAAATATGGCACCATGTGTTCCAAGGGCGATATAAATTACAGTGTGCAGGACATGCTGGCTGCTGAGGTAAAGCACACTGCCTGCCCCACATCACCATTGAGGGAAAGGTACACGTTCTCTTAAAAACATCTCGTGTATAAAAAATGTCCCCTGGAAAAGCCTCCAGAGAGGGCTGTGAGGCTTACCCACGCTGCATGGCCATGGGAGCCACTGTCACTCGCTCTGGCCAGGACACTCAAGGCTGGCAGCGCCTCCCTACTGCTTGCCCAGCGCTCTGTCCAGATTGCTCTTGATGGTGTCCAGGAAGTCTGTGGTGTTCAGGAAGTGCTCATTGAGCTTCACGCTGAGGAAGGGACATACCATTGGCATCAGGGCCTTTGCAGGCCACTGAAGCCACCTGGCACTTACTGCCAAAAGGCCACAGTGAATCCTAAAGGAACTCTTCAGAGTCTTTGTTTTTGTTTCTGTTTTTCTAGGAGACATGTAACTGGGGCCAGGATCTCCAGGGAGAAGCTCAGAGATGGCTCTGGAGGGGACAAAGAGCAGTGGGGCCACTAACCAACCACCTCCCCCAGCCCAGGCTATGCAGCCCTGGCCTGAGCTGCTCTCCAGGGCCACTCTGTCCTGTCCTACACCCGGAGCAGCCCTGACTCCTGTGAATGGAAGCCAACCCCGGCCTGTCCCCGGGCCACACACTTGCTCAGGCCATGGATGCAGCCTGCCAGGTCCTTGGTCATGGCCCCACTCTCCACAGTCTCCACGCACACCTTCTCCAGTGTCTGTGCAAACCTGCGGGGACAGCAGAGTGAGCCCTGTTGTGCAGACTCAACCCTAAGCCACTCGGCCTGGCCTTGCTTCATGCTCACCTGATAAGGTCCTGGTTCCCATCCAGCTTCCCACGGTGCTCCAGGCCACGCGTCCATGCAAAGATGCTGGCAATTGGGTTGGTGCTAGTGGGTCGACCCTGAGGATAGGAGGTAGGGGATCAGCGCAGAAGCCCCCAGATGTGGCTGCCCACCCCAAGACTGGTAATCAGGTCTGTTCTCCCTGTGACCAGGACCAGCAGTTTTGACCCCCGGATGGATGGCACTGTGTGGCCACGTGCCCCACACATACCTTCTGGTGCTCCCGATAGTGGCGGGTGACAGTCCCATGAGCAGCCTCTGCCTCTATGGTCTTCCCATCTGGGCAGACCAGCACAGATGTCATCAAGCCAAGGGATCCAAACCCTGTGGGGTGGAGAGCCATTTTTCAGTTTGTCAAAGAGCCATCAGGCTCAGCCACCCAGGGCCACTCCCCCACCTGCTGCTGTCGCTGCCTCAGCTCACATCCCCAGCTCCCCCAGTGGAACAGGGAGGGCAAGAACTTCCTGGAGCTTCCCGCCCTCATCCCGGGTCTCCAGTCCATCAGAGGGCAAGGTGGCCCTTGAGGATGGCTAACATCAACCACCAGTGCCACCTGTGTGTCACTACCAGATACCCACAGCCATGGCACCTCGGGCCCAAGATTCCAAAGAATCCTATAGCCTCCAGCAGAAAGAACAAAGCTGCTGCCATCCACTTCCATTTACTTTTGTGGCTGCTTTTAAGCCACTTTCCTGTTCTGTGACTTATTTCCGAATTTCCCCAAATCCAGATGCCAGTTCAGATGGCCTTTTCTGTTTTATAGTCTTAGGCATGGAGTCCAAAGCCTCAAACATGCTAGGTAAAAGCTCTACCACTGAGCTACACCCAAAGCCTTTTTACTCTGAGATAGAGCCCCACTGAGTTGCCCAGGTTGACCTCAGAATATGTGATCTTCCTGCTTCAGCCTACCAAGTAGCTTACAGGTTCGACACACCACATCTGACTCAAATGACCTTTTCTATTATCAAGGACTTCAGGGCTTCAAAACAACAAAATAGGGGCCAGGGAGATGGCTCAGTGGAGTAAGTGTTTCCCTGGCAAGCGCAAGGGCCTGAGTTCAATCCCCGGTGTCAAGGCCCTGGGATCAACCACCAAAAAGAATACAAAGTATCCAGTCCAGTTTGATGCCTATGCCAGGCAGGACCAGCTCTGGGCTGACAACCTGGCCCTTTGGAACTCAAGTTCCTGTGTCCTTTCTCCTACAAGGACAGCCTTAGCAATGCACCAGTACAAAACTCCTTTGTGGGTCTGAGACTTAGATGCTGGGAGGCCCTAGCTCTGCTGGCCACAGGGGACCTGTGTTGAGTTCTGCCACACCCTCAAGTTTTCTGCCCCCATCTCTAAAAACCCCCAGCCAGAGAAGAGCCACAGAACGCCCCTGGGGACCACGTCTCCCATGTACCCTGAGCCAGGATGTCCGACTGCACGTCTCCATCGTAATTCTTGCAGGCCCACACAAAGCCGCCTGAGGACTTGAGGACCTGGGCCACCATGTCGTCAATGAGCCGGTGCTCATACCAGATCTTATGCTTGTCAAAGTCCGTCTTGTAGTGCCTAGAAGCAAGCAGCCTACTGTGTGGCGGAGGATGAGCCCAGCAGGTTGGGGACCCTCCCAATCCTCCGCGCTGAGCCAATGCACTGGGTAATTACTCCCCAGGGAGGACAGGGATAGCACAGGGAGACAGGAGGTGTAGGGTCCTCAGGGAGCCACAAAGGTAGAGGCTGTTACTTGTCAAAGATCTCCTGGAAGATGTCCTTGAAGCGGCCATCGTAGGCCTTCAGAATGGTGTTCTTGGTGCTCATGTACAGCGGCCACTTCTTCTGGATGGCATACTGGAAGCAGCTGTGCGCAAAACCTGAGATGGACTGTCGGGGGAGAAAGGGCCTAGCTCGGTGCCCTAGCCCGGGGATTGCCAGCTCCCCCAAACAGCACTCCCACCTCAAGGCCATTTGACCCCAGCCACCACAAAGTGCGCGACTGTTGCTTCCCATGGTGCATTACCCACCCACGGAATTTCCAACTTCCAGGAGCAAGCAGCACACACCCTTTACTTACTTTTATTTTGTTTTTTGGTACTATGGATCGAATTCAGGATGTTTGCCAGGCAGGCGCTTATGCCCTGAGCTATCTCCCTGGCCCACCCTTTTTACCTTAGACAGTTTACCCAGATTACAAATCCGCTGCTAAGACAGTGCCCTCATTTAGCCAGTGCAGCCCTCCTTCCGGGTTTATCAGAGCCCCGCCTCCTGGTTTATCCAATCAGAACCCTTTCTCCTGCTTTATCCAATCAGCCT